ACAAGCTCACAGTTTGCACCAGGCTCTGTCATAAAAATAGAGGTCAAAGATATGTTTGTCCTTCCTCAGTGCTGCCTGGGTCCTCAACCCTGCACTTCTGGACACAGAGAGAGAGAGTGAGCACATGGCTGGAGGGAGATCTCCATCCTTTCCTTTCCATGTTGGAGCAGGGGAAGGGTCTGAGGAGCTCTCCCTCTCAGGTGGAAGGAGCACCATATAAAATGTGTGATGAACTGACCACAGCCCCCATTCTCAGTCCCTCTGCACCACAGGGGAAAAGCAGGTATAGAATTCAGGTGCAAAATTAAGGCTGGGAAGAAGGCAGAGTTGGGGGGAAAGTGTCTTTAAGATGTCTCATTACTCTACTCTATTTTGATTCGTAATAAATTAGATACAAATAATTTTCCTCAAGTTGAGTCTGTTTTGCTTCTGATGTTAATTAGTGACCAATCTCTCCCTGTCTTTATCTCGACTCAGGAGCTTTTAGTTATATTTTCTGTCCCCTGTCCAGCTGAAGGGGAGTGATAGAGTGGCTTTGGTGGGCACCTGGCATCCAACTAGGGAAACTCACCACAAGGGTGAATCAAAATCTCTCTGACTTTTCTCCTAAAACCTGTTTTTTCCCTCTCAGCTATTTTCATTTGGCTTCAGGCTCTGCTCCACAGCTCTCAACCCTTCTTTACCATCAGAGGCTCTGAACTCCACTTGCATTTACCAGCTCGCTGTTATGTGTTATTATTCAGTCAAAAGTTGAAAACTTTTAATCTTGTGACCTTATAACTATGCAGAAGTTCAGTGCCAGGGGTTGGGATCTGTGATTACATGCTAAAATGGAATAAATATAAACTTTAAAAAATAGAAAAAAATAGAATAAATATATATACTTGAGCTTAATTATAGAAGAAATCAGTGGTCTAATACACTGTGCATTACTGAGCCTCTTACAGCCTTGTGTTTTCACATGCCCATTATCCTGAGGAAGTGAGGTGCTTTTATCTATGTTTTACTAATGTGTAATGGAGTAGTAGAACACTGGAGCAGCATCAGGGATGCCTTTGGGATTCAGACCTGGCTTTACAGAAGACCACCTGCAGCAGAGTAGGAACCTGAGGCATGGTCTCTCAAATCTCTTTCAAGGGCAGCTAAGGTCAATTTAGAATTGTGCTGGGGCTGCTGTGCTCAGCAGCACAGGTAGGGCTGAGCTTTGCATTCTTGACATTACATTACACAGAGCTTAGTGATGATGACTGTTAGGCCCTGGAGTGCTGCCTCCATCCTGGTCCCACCCTGCAGCAGCAACTTTCCCTTCCACACCTCTGCAGCCTTACAGGCTGTTTCACTGCTCTGTATGGTTACAGTCGTCTATAAACATCCTCTCTTAATGGAAGGTGACACCACACAGCTTTACATGCAGCCTTTGTACATTTCCCATGGCAGAAACTCCTATTGCATCAAACCTGTGCAGGGCTTGCTGCAATCACAACCAAATCCATAAAGGCTCTAACAGGCACCAGGGTTTAAAGCACTAATGATGAATCATTACACACTTGTGACCCCCTCATAGCAGTCATTATTCTTAATCTAAACCAGCAAAGTTCATATCATCCACAAATTTTCCAAATTATTTGTGACACCTGCCTCTTTGGCCAGACCTACACCATGATTTTCATGCCAATTCTGAGCCTGTCTACTTCAGTCCTACTTATACAATCTGACTGCAAGCAAATAACTTCAGAACAAGCAATCTCAGTCTCTTAATTCCTGAGCTGCTCTGTAGTATATATGATTTATAAAATGTGTAATTCATACCTTACCCCACCAGTAGGACTGTGGAATGGGGATGTGGTCCAGACGGGCCCCACGAATCCCAGCTCTTCTGTAAGCCTCAGATGTCAAGTCTGGGAAATTTCTGTTCAGGTCCAAGTTCTGAGCTGTCTGTCGTCCGATGACCCATCCATTGTAACCAGCCCCCTATTTTGTCACACAGAAGCCAATTTCAGAATAGCTCCCTGTCTCAAAATAGCACTTTGTGGAAATTGATTAATCAAAGGGAAGTTTTTAAAATAAGTAAACTGAAAATGTCTGTACTGTTAAAAAACCCACGCTTATTAATTAATCACATTTTGTCCCCATGAATATTAATGCATTAACTAGCGTTCAGGAAGTGTTTCACTCACCAGTGATATGACTCATGAGAGGAACACAGGAGCCTCTTGCTCAGAGCAGCATGCAGAGTGGGTTAGAGGAGAAAAAGAAAATACAGCTGATGGCCCAAGACAGGATGAGGCAGCGTGCAATAACCCCAGACTCATACAGCAGACAGAGCTCACCACATAAAAACAGAGAAAGAAAGGTCTAGTTTCTCATTAGTAGTGGTAGAGAAAATAGAGAGGGGGAAATAAGAATGTCAAGTAACAAATAATAGACTCTTAGTTTTCGCAGACAGGAGTTGATCTCTGAAAACTGCTATCCATTATGAAACTTTGACAGTACAGACAATATTCACATTTCATTATGTCTACAGTTTTAAAAGAGGGGGAACATCATCATGTTATTAAACTGCATTTCCTTATAAAATAATGTAAGTTGTTAGAGTGAGTCAAGCATTTTGTTCTAGAACTGATAGCAGAGTGCTAAGTGGGTGAAAAAGTAACAGTCATTCCCACATCATCACATACAGACAGCAAAACTGACAAATATGGCTCTGATTTCCTCTTCACATCATCTTTGGAAAGCAATGAACCACCAAGCCTACCTGGGATTCTGGCAGTCAATTATTGGTGTTCCCCTTTTACATGACTCTCCTCCCAGTTTGTTCTTTCCCATGGGAATTATAGAAACATGAAGGCCTGAACATAGCCTTTAATACAACTTTTACCTCTTCTGCAGCCAGTTCGTACCCATCAGGATTGAGTGAAGGCAGGAGATGAATTCTGGTGTTGTTAATCAAGGTCTGGATGCGAGGGTTCCCTAGAAGATATTCTGAGCACAGATACTGTGCGAGGTATATCAGCAGTTCCTTCCCCACAACTTCATTTCCGTGCATGTTGCCAATGTACTTAAATTCTGGCTTGACTGTGGAATGTGAAATAACGAGATGCTTTATTTGATTATGCCTGAGTGGCTTCCAAAATCAAACTAACCCAAGTTGCTTACTTATGAGTCAAAGTTTTGTTTACACTAATTTCATGCACACGTTCCTGCAAATAGCACAGCAGTTCTAGGTGAACTTCTCTCCATTAAACACCAGTTCAGCAACAGTTTAAATAGTGTGAAATAAACTTAAGCCCAAACTATTAGGATTCCAAACCATAAGAGGTGATCAATGCTCTGAGCTTTTGCTAAAGTCATCATTAATTGTGAGCAAAGGATGGTGAAAACAAAAACACCCAGCCATGGCTGGCAAAGAACAAAATACAACCCTGGCACCCTGACCTACCTTGGGGGGCTTCAGTGCCTTATTTTGTCACAGATCCTAGAAATGACCTGCAGATGTGTAATATATTATGCCTCTATTTGAAAAAGAAGCTGGGTTATGCATAAAAGGGGCTTTCAGGCTAAATAACCCTGGAATAGGCCCATTAGAAACACATAATTTTGCAATTCCCTGCAGTTACTCTCTCAATTTCCATCCTTCCTTAGAGACTAATGGAAAGTGGAAAATAAGTGCACTTTGGAGACACCCTTTCCTGTCTACCCCTTCGTCTTTGCCTTTGATCCCAGCCAGCCTTGAGCTCTAGACCCTGAAGGGGGCCTGGTGCAGAGCTATTATGCCACTTGCTCAGACTGGCAAAATCTCCAGCTCTGGAGCTATTTCTACCTCTTTTTATGCTGCCCTGAGCAGCATGAAGCAACAGATTTAGAGAAAAATGCTAGGAAATGTGTTAAACTATCATCTTTTATCATGCCATATCACAGTTTTCATTTAAAAGTCTGATTCAGAAGCTTTGTATTTTCCTGGCAAATGGGGTACAAGCTTAAAAAGACACCTGCAACTTACTTTCTTTGAAAAAGAGACAAAGGGTGATAGGCCGGGAAAATGCAAGTAGATCTTTGCTCTGTTAATGACATCTACTGGGACCTGATTAAGTTTAAAGGCACCTCAAAATACCTCTAGACCATGCAAGGCAGCCCAGCTGAGAGCAAACAAAGTGACCAGTCTTTGCTGTCCTCTCCGAGTCCCCTGCAGCACAGCACACAGAGGACACAGCAGCCTGACCTGATCATAATCTCAATAAAGTATTAGGTCAGATATCATCCAGTTCTGCCACACTGCTGAGGCTGTGCTGGTGCTGGAGTTCTTCTGGTCAGAAGCAATCTGAGGCTCTCAGCAATGGCCATAGCTATCCACCACATCTAGACAAGTATAATTTTTGACCTGGGAACTGGTAACTGGAAAACAGTACTTAATGCTGCCCTAGAAAGTTATCTGCTTTGTGGAGAATTTAAAACACTTAAAAATTTAGTCCTTGCTGTCTTTGTGATGAAACTACAAAATAGAGATTTGTACTGTTCCCCTCTGCAGAAAATTTGTGAGGACTCATATCCTAATGTATATTTTAGCATCTACATGTAGTATAATAGCATCTATTCAGGGGCTATGATAAAATAAATTCCTGGTATCATCCACCATCAGCATGTTACTCTGACATGAGTCTCTGACGAGGAGGATTGTTTTCAGTGCTGAATCATCCTTTTTTAATGTCAGTGTCCTTCTCTATCTGAGGCCTTCTCAGAAGACTTGTGTATTTTAGGACGTGAAGGACAGTGAGGAGGTGGTAGATGATAGTGAGGGCAAGTCAGTAACAGAAAAGTATCCCAAATTTGTACATTGGGCACAAATAAATAACAGTGATATCACTACAACCAAATACACATTGATACAAGGAACAGCATTACCAAGCATGGTCATGCACAGAGCTCATAACAGTAATGAAATTGCTGCTGGGTAGAATTTCTACAAGGAATCATAAATTATCACTGTGACTCAGGAACAAAAGGAAGGAGAAATGTTTTGGAGACAACGCTTTTTACAGTTTAAGTGATGTCCCAGTAAAAGGGCCTGTTTTCCCTTGGATAATCTGGTCTCCTGACCAGCCCTGACATAACTCACGCAGTTCATGGTGTCCAGGCTTGGTTGAAAACTCAATCACAAAAAGATCCTTCCCTTCAAAACTGCGACCTATGCTGTAAGTTGTTGCAATGTGGGAGCACTTAGAAGCAGTCTTCTTCAGCGTGCTCACCATTTGGGAATACGAATGGTGTTTGAACTGAATAAAAGTTGCTGGCAAGTCTGAAGGCAAATCTTCCCCAGCATCTACTTCCCCTGCAATAAAAAATCATAACACAGTGTTTAAAACCATAGTGCTCAGAGGATTGTATGAAAACCTGCACTTTTTTCAAATTATCTTTATAAGTAGAAGAATTACAGAAAACAAAGCAGCAATCAAAACCTTAAATGTATGTAGTACATCCCACACTTTATTGTGGCATGTTTTGATTGCAAAATCCTACTAATGCATATGCACACTAACAAATATTTGTGCAATCTCCAGTTAAATTTGACTTTTGGCATGCTAGCTCATTTCAGTAACAAATTGTCAGATTTTTCCCTTTAAATTTGGTGAATCATTTTTTAAAATGAGATTCATCTGTCTTCAGCTATCTGGATCTTTTTAATCCAAACAAAAATCTGTGACAATCATTAATAAGAATATTTTAATGAGCTGTTAAACTTGACAGGCACTCACAGATTTATAAGTGCACAAAAGTTTCAGTTTTTAAATAAAATATTTCAAATATATAGACAGCTATCATACAGGACAGGGCTTTTCTAAACACATCCAAATATCTTGCTCTGAGCTGCCTGTCTTGATGCTCTTTCTAAATGAGGGAGAGAAATAGATACTTCTTGAGTACAGTTTAATTAAGTGTTTAAAACAGGTGGAGCAAAATTAATGGCACATTACAGGGCTCTACAAAGACAATAGGCTGAGGTGACAAGCAAAGACGTTTTGTGCCACAGTTTCCTGGGTTACAATGTAAAGATGTGTCCAAAGTATGTACTCTATCACCATCTGTTGAAATCACCTGGGGCAGCAATCATTATTTCTGTGGGAGATATCTTCTGTTAATGGCCCATCTGTTAAAAACCAGGTAACGCAGTGTTCTTTATCTTTTCCATAACCCATCCTTCCTCCAGGAAGATATCTTGTGTTAATGGGCCATTGAGTCTCACTGAATCACTGATAAAATTACATCATCCCATGGGGAGATGCTCCATCTGGGGGGAGGAGCCAAACATTTCCTACCTAGATAAAAACTGAGATTTGGAACACCAAAGCAGTCCTTACCCACTGATTTCCAGAGCTACCAGACCTTTCTACAGGATCACTACTTCAACAAGAGCACTTCATCAGGACTGCTATCAGCACCCTAACTAGAGGGGTGTCAGGTTGTATTCTGACTCTGTCAGTGGCTTTTCTTCTGTACTATTCCATGTATTGTATTTTTCTCTTTTTTTTTTTTTTCCTATTAAATTGTATTTCTGACTTGGAGTCTCTCACTGGTTTTGCTTTCAAGCCATGACACACAGATAAGCCAAGCCGAGTGAGATGAGCCCCTCCCTGTGCAGACAAGGCGTGCCAGCAGAGCCTCCTCCCCTCCTCACCTCGCAGCTTTGCCAGCGGGTCGAAGCACCCCTCTTCCTCCCCAGCAAAGAACCGGTCACAGTCTAAGAAGTAGGGCCAGGCCATGTCTATTGCATCAAAGGCAGGAAGGCAATTTTTTTTGAGGTTTTCACAGACGTGCCTGCAGGGCTTTATGGCTTTGTCCTTCTCACACTGCGGGGCCAGCACGGAGCAGCCCAGGAGCCTGAGGTCGGGGTTGCATTCCCCCTGGAGCAAGTTGTGCAGCACACTGATGAGCAGGTACTCAGAGCTGTACTCAATCACCTCTCGAGACTTCTGATCCAGAAAATTAGGATACACCATTTGAGTATAGGCAACATCAGTACAAGAACTCAGGGCAATATCCACGCATTTTGCTATGAAAAGGAACATAGCAAAAATTACTTTCTTCACTGACATTCTGAATAGACAAACAGAATACCATATCCAATGAACTTATTTCTTTAGTTCCCAGGTAGGCCAGAAATAGTTTGCAAACTGAATTGCATATTTAAAACCACTTATAGAAAGATGATGAGAAGCATGCTTGGTTCTGGAGATATAATTTGAGCTTAGGAATTTGACCAGAGAATTCTTAAGAAAAAGGTAGGAACTTGCTGGTGAGAAAAACTCAGATTCCTGAATAAAATAATATTTATGATATCACTCTCCCCTGACTTTGAATTGTCACATGGATTCCCCAAGTAGGTGTGAGATCCTACAGGTTTTTTCTTTAGTGGGGAATGTACTGCTAAGTTATCTCTTTTCTCTGCTTGGCCTCATAAAATTTGTAGAGTTTAATATCTTTGAAACTACAGAGCCTCCATGAAGTTTGATTGGAATTGCTCAAAGAGTTGAAAAGTCATTCTGGTGCTTAACTCACAGGCGAGCAGACACATAATATGATTACAGGTATATTCTCAGAAACCCAGTACATTTTAAGAAATCGAGTTAGGAGGTCTTAGGAAGGATAAGTATTGGTAACACCTTCAACCCACTTAGAAGTGAAAAAGGGTAATAAAAAGACATTTCTTCATAAAATTCCTGGCTGTTATAGTAATGGATCTACATTTGAGTGTCCTTTTCTTGGTAATGATTCTGCCTGGTAACAAATGCTGTTGTCACAGCAGCAAAATGCTACACTGTGTGAAAGAGCACATTTCTCTTGTAATAAAACCCACTGTAGCACCAACATGAGCATACTTGTCAGGAAATCATGAAGAAATACTTAGGGTTTTGAGGTTCTCCAAGAACAGCAAGGAAAGACACTTCATACCTTTCTGTACACTTTGGCATTGACCTGTAAATGAAGAGCAAAAGAGAAATCGTTACAGGGTGGGTGTACATGGCTCCTCCTCTGTGTTAGGAATTACCTGATCTGGTATCTGCTGCAGCTCTGTGTCCTGAGATCCAGCCATACCAGGAACAAACACATATCCCAGCAGGCACGTATTACAGAATCACAGAATAGGCTGAGTTGAGAAACCCCATTCCTCTTCATCAATGCACAGTTAGGTGCCTAGGAAATTTCACTAATCAAAACCTAGGTCTTTTTTTAATCTGGTTAGTCTAAAAGTCTGTATGAGTCCTGTACATATCAAGGTGTTTTATCCATCTCCCCTAAACGACCATTTTGTCCCACATAATGCTGTGGATACCTTTCCTGTAAAGCAATTCAGCCTTTGGTAGATATGAGGGGATTTTATTTCTTCCTCATCCTACTTCATCATATCTCTAGCAGTTGTGTTTTATCACACTTTTAATAATATCTTAAAACTAATTATTTCCCTCCCCAGCTACTCTCACAGGAAAGCTTTATCAAAAGATCACTCTTCTAATGGCTAGAAATTGCCTTTTAATTTCGTGTTTAAAAGTATTTGTGGTCAGTTTATTTCCATTATTTTTGTGCCAGCATTGTCCTTGAGCTTAAGTAGCTCTCTGCATTCCCTGGTGCATTCCTTCACACTGCACTGGCCAAGAGTGAACAGATCTCCTCTGCTTTCTGTTTACTGGGTCAAATAAATGATGCTCTCTTGATTTTGAAGGAACGTGGTTTGATGACCTAGGAAATGCTTCTTTTGCTCCTGTAGCCAGTGATTCTATATTGTCCTTCTCCAATATAACTAAATAAATATATTTCTGCCAAGGCATTGGAGTCGTTTTCACCAGTGTCTCATAGGAGCTAAATCACTCTGTGCAAGCCTGAACACCACCAGGTTCACCTTTCCTGTGAGGTAGTGGGGATCTGTTCTGCTGCTATTTCTTCTTGCTGTCACTGGGGGGACAGGCATCCAGCTTCTTGCTTAGTAAATTGAGCATTTGTCCTCACAAGACCAAATTCATTATGTTTCCTTTTTTTCCTGCTAAAGAGAGTTTAAACTTCTACTGCTGGCATATTTGTTTAAATGTAATCATCTGCATATGTGTTGCTAATGAGTTGATCATTCTTTAGCCAAAATAAAGTCATTGTATTGAGAACTAAGTTAACCCTGGGATTTTATCTTGGAGGGGGACGTTTAATTGGAAATTAGTCTGGTTCTATATTATGGATTGTAATTGAGCCACATTACCTCATAAAATAAATGAGGCATCAGAACTAGCAGAAACAGTCCATCCCCAACACCAACAAGTCCTGTTATGCAGCAAGCTAGAAAAAATTATACCTATACAAACTCCTTTCCTGGTTCAGTACATTATGATAATTACATTAAATAATACCTGGTTCATCAACACTGCCTTCCATTATAGGAGTTCAGTGTTTCCCTCAGCTAGGAATAATCCCCTCTGTGAGTTAGTTATTAAGGTCAAGGCATTTCTGAAAAAAACTTCATCTCAGCCAGATACTGCATGCAGTGCTACATCTGGGGATAATCAAGGAATAGCATTTTGTACAATGCTAGCTAGCTGTGAGAGAGAAATAAATGATCTCGTTAGTAAGAGCTCCAGCAATTAATCCTGCTGATAAAATTGGATGTCACTGCCCTCTGAATCTGGATAGTCTTATATACTAACATCACCACACCCACATTTGAGAGACCTTGGACAAGAGTATGGAGTCAGCCAAATGTTCCTTACAGAGGGGAAAACGTAGTGTGGAGAGGACTGGCTTGAGTTTAGTCACGTCCCAATGCAGAGAGTGACACTATCTCTGTTTATCACCAGGGTCATTAGCAATGAATCCCCTTTGTTACCTTGAGGAGTGGATGAGAAATACTTGGCACCCTTTTCTCCCTGTCCTGAGCAGAAAATTAATGTATTGTAGCTATTATTTTAGACTAGATGGTTGTAGGTGCTGGGCACAGTTTTTCATGGGGCATTTGGGGAGCATGAATGGTCTTTCTACAACTGCTCACATTTCCTCAAAGGTAAGAGGCATTTCCCCTTCTGCTGGCTCCAGGACCAAGCTACAAATGTCCTTTTAGTCTATCTGTCTGACATGCAATGATCAAATAATGAAACTGAGGCACACACAGTCTCCCCAACCACTTTTGCTGTGCAGGAGTGCTACAGCCATCAGTCACTTGGAGATGTGGCACAGGCCTGTTCTCAATGGCATGTCAGAATTCTTCTTATTCAACTGGAACAAGCAGAGGAAACCAAAGGGAAAATGCAGCAGGCAGGGTATGGATGTGGTGCTGCTTCTCCCTGCTCCAGCTCTGAGCAGCAGCAGCCTTGCTGTGTTTAACAGATGCCTCTTTCTGCCCAGCTGGCCGAGAGGAGAGGCATGGGGAAGCAATGGAGAGCTGATGGAAGAGATGTGAAATTCCACTGATATGCTGTCCAAGGGTTCACCTGAGGACTGGCTCCTTTTGTGAGCAGGAGGAGATGTTAGCCCAGGAGAGGGAAAGACAGCTCTAGTTTCAGACTGTGCTACATGCCATCCACACTTTGATACTTTTACCATAGTTATGTAGGGAGAGGAAATCTATTAAGTTACACAGGTATTGCTCATTAGCAAAGATGCTGTCTGAAGAGGATAAATCTAAATCTAAAGTTTTTAAATGAGGAACCAAAACCATATAAATATTTTCAATGGCAACTGAAGTTATTCATCTCAGTATTTGATAAACAGGGATGATTCTGCAACAACCCTGTTTGGTAGATAAAGCTTTTCCACTACTTGTGATCCAGGATGCCCCTTACAAACTCAAAGCTTTCATTTTTCTTAATAATTTACTGATTAGCAAAAGTTACTCCAAAGTGCTGGGTCCTAAACCTGGATTTAAACCTAAATCTATAATTAAGCTAAACTTAGATTTAAGTCTCACACCTTTGCAGCATACCATGGCATTTTCTCTTTGTCTCTCTTTACTAGAGACATCCATGCAACTTCTGGCCACATTTCCCCATCACAGTGCAAGCTGCACTATGACCCATATATCAGCCACAGCTCTGTCTTGTAAACATCCAGGTCTGAAACAGCTTGAGATTTCAGGTTATCAGAGTCAGTATATATAAAATCAAGAGAGAAAAGGTCTGTTTTATACCAAACCTTGCTTTATAGCCAGCCATAAATGTGTATGTGTGCTGATGTGGTGTTTTGACTTTCCCAATGTTTCCTAATGCCAATGTTTCCTAACGCCAATGCTTACATATGTTTTGGAGGGTGCAGCTCTGCAAGGGCCAAGGATAATTCTGCAGGATGTGTGCTTATATAAATAAGTGTGGATACATGTAGTTGGGCCAGAGCCTGCCTGCCTGGAGAGCCAGCAGCAGGAAGCTCTCCAAGGCCAGCTCCCAGGCTGCACTGTACTGTCTGTTCCTGCAGCCTTGCACCCACTGGCCTGAGTGTCTGCACATAGAAATCACCACAAAATCCCCCATCCCTGCCCATGACAACTCGTTTTCTCTAAGCTCTGGCAATGCCAGGAGAGATCAACCACTTCCTTTCTCATTTTCATAAGAAAAATGACAGGAGTTGATATACAAAGAGCTTCTCAGGTCTCCCAATTGACTTGGCAGGCTTCAATAGTTGCTTCTTCTGTACTTGAAAGAGTCTAAAATTTTTCAGGTTTTTTGTGCAGAGGCTTCCCTGGGCTCAAAGGAAGACAGTGTCACCTCCTCTCAAAGTCCCATCCACCAACAGGTTGGTACAGAGAAACCTTTTTCTTCCTAACCTAGAACAGCCTTTTCAATTTTTTATGTTTATTTTTGTACTCTAACTATTCCACCAGAGCTACAAAAGTCCTTTCAGTAGTGCAGCTTCTATTTAAGATTATGGATAAAATAACTTATTGAAGAGGAGAAAAGCCATTTCAAGCTTTCTGAGCTCTCTCTATAAAATACGTTTCTGGTTTTAATTTGCAAAGGCAAGCTTGAAAATCTACAATGCAGCACATACATATTTTACTGCCAAGCTTACATTTTTTCCCCTTGATGATTCAGCACCAAAGGAAGCAAGCTGCTGTGATTAACCCTAACCCACACAAGAGAGCTCAACAGCTACTTCTGGTACCATGGACTGGCCAGTTGCCTTTTCAAGAGCAAAGCCAACAGTAAACTCATGTGATTGATGATCTGGAATAAGCCCGAGAGCAAGTCTTAAATCTGAAATATCTAAGTCATTCAGTGAGGCAGATTGGAGGGGGTGTGCTGGTCAGTACAGATCAAAATAGATGAGATAATGTATATTATAAAGACCAGCATAACCCCTCCCAGCTTTCTGGGCTTCTTACAAGACTTTTTTAAACTAGAAGAACATATGTATTCATTTAAATCTGTTTATAGTCAAAGCCTTCACTTTTCCAAACAAAGCATTTCAGTTCCTTATCAAGTTTCTATTACTCTCCCGGCTGATTTATGTGGTTCATCAAGTCAGTCTTTCAATGATATTCTGCCTTAGTCACTAAAGAGACAAAATTTAGTATCAGTAGCAAGATACAAACACTGCTGAGCTGTACCATTTTGCAAAATACTGGAACAGCATCTTCAAATGGCAAAGCATAGCCTGCTTCCAGAGCCAGCCCCTAGCTCCGGCAAAAAGACAAGGGCAGGACAAAATCCATTATATAACACTAAATGGATCAGAATCATCAGGAGGAGGGTGTGGGAGGAGTGGGGATGTAAGGGGACTAGTGGCAGAGTAATGGGAGAGCTGAGTAGCCTGGGCAGGGGGACAACGGCTGAGCAGAAAGCCCAGAAGAGAAGGCAGCTACACACCCAGGGAATACATGCAGGGGCAGAAGTGGAGAAGATTCCCAGCAACAGAGAAGAAATTCCAGGAAAACCGGAGTAGAGAGGAGTGCTTGCAAAATGCAGCCACGTGGTTAACTCAATTTTCTGGATACAGCAAAGGTTTTGTGAGTAGAGGATTGAATAGATGTTATTAACCCTCCAGCAATTGCAGTAACTGCCTGGGGGAGGGATGTGTTTGCAGCAGGCAGAAACAGTGCCCAAGAGCTCTGTGCAGCCCTCCTTTATCTCTGCTCCCTCACTTGAAGAAACCTGAAAGCACCTGAAAGAGATTAATGCCTCATCTGCCTTTATTTTGCAGAGCAAGATCACAGCAGGAAGATGCAAGCCAGTGTTCGTTGCCAATCACCTTTCTTTCTAACCCACCTGCTGCCTGGCATTTGGTTAAACATCCATTTTTATTGAATTACTGGAGATGTTCCCACAGCAATGACACTGCAATGAGTTCTTTAGGGATTGTTTCTCTCTCAGGATTGCTCTGGAGCCAGGGAGAAGGTGCTGAAGTTTTCCATGGATGATGTCAGGTCACAACCTGCAGGCCACAGGTCAAACTCTGTGCAGATGCACACCAAGACCTGTCACATGGCAAGGGCACAAAGACAGCCTTAGTGGGCACCAATAATCCTCCCTTGTTTCTAGTTGTTCGCATGCAACTTAAACACGTCTGCAGTTGTAGATGGTGCCTAAAAGAACTGATGAGGAGTATTTCTGTCTGTCTGTCTGTCTGTCCCCACCACTGCCTTGGTGCCTCTAGTGACTCTGGTGTCACCCCAGCTATGTCTCTGGCTGATAACTGCTGCTTCAAGGAGTCCTTCAGGAGTTGAAAATCCTGAATATAAACATAATTCCCTAAACAAAACCTACTAAATGCCTTTTCCTGGCCTCAGCTGAGATATTTCCCAAGTTGCTAGGGAAAAGTTGCCCATTGGGAAAAAAAAATGCAACAAAGATGATAACAAGTGGGCCAGCAGTTGCCAAATTGACTGAAGGCTTAGTGAACTGCATTGTGTGACAGGGCTGCTGCTGAGCAAGCATTTCCTGTGCACCAGGATGATCTGGAGACCTGTGGAGATCATCTCTCAGGGTCTGGTCAGTGAAGGAAGGAGAAATAAGCTCGTATCTGGAGGATGATGGCATTAAACCACAGCAAGGGTAAGAAGGTGGAATAGGCCAGGAAATCTCTAAAACTATCATCTAAAGGATCAATTTTTTTTTGCCAGGTTGCCTGGCAAAGGATGTAAACGTATTAATCAGGTATTCTGGATCTGTGATGCCCCCATAGCTGTACTTTGTGACCATACACTCTTTACAGCTCAGGTCCCATGGTTTTAGGATGTAGTACTCTCAAGTGCTTTGGCCAACAACCTACCATAGTTAGAAGCTTTCCTTTAAGCAAGCCCAACTCTGTCGAATGCCATAGGACAGAGGATCATGTCTGAAAAATTGAGGGTTTTATCTTTTCTACCACAATATTTCCAAAACATTTTCCAAAACATCATCCCATTCTCTTTAAACAGTGTAACCATCCCCCTAGATCAACTCTGTCTTTTCTTTAGTTTAGCTGTATGAGAACTATTATAATTAACATCTCATCTGATTCTTCTGTAAGTAGAGTTTTAACCAAATGTGGTACTTTTATGTACAAAAGATTGACAGTTAATTGAATAACCTTGACTTAAATCTGTGCCTTAATTTCATATTGTCTTCTAGATAACTGTATCCTATTATTACCCTAAAAATTTGGTGTCAATTATTTCAGTAGAGTTACAACAGTGTAAATTAAAAGATTGGAATTTCAGTTTTATTTCTGAAGTGGACAAAGTAATCCCAAATCCCTAAACTCTACTGATCTGTGACAGCTGTAGCCAACTGGGAAGGTGATTCTGTCCAAACAAGACTCAGGAGTCATAAAATTCCTGGGTCATAAAAGCCCAGCAAAGAGACCAGGACATGGCCCAGCAGCCTCAAACACCATGCACACACCATGATAGGAGACTCCTAAGTGGTACCTCCATGCTCAGCTCTGCAGCAGGCAGTAACACATGGTGTTTATCCAGCATTTGGCCCAGGCTTCAGGAGCCCAAAGAGGACCATGGTAGCTGTCAGCCATCCAGCATCCTCAAACACTGTGACTGTGTGAAGGAAGAGGTAGTGTCTAGAAATGTTATAGAGGATCAACCATTAGTGTTATTAAGTCTTGCTAAAAGCCTAGCTGTGACTAAGAGCAGCAGGGTTTTGTTCAAGTTTTGACTTCTATGTTTTCACATGCCCACACCTTAAAGATGTACAAGTATTCTGAAAAAACTTTTTCCTTCAGATTAAAATTGTGCATAAACCATTTCAGCAGTATAAGGAGATACCTTTGTATTTTATTTTCAATATAAACTTACTTTCCCTACAGGTGTCTGTTTCTGATCCCATTTTCCATGTTAAAAGGAGCTGAAGGCCAGTGTTGCTAAGATAATAATTGTGTAGAAATCCTAGAGGCACTGGCAGGAATTCAGCAGAGCTCACATGATTCAGTGATGACAACTGGCTTCACAAAGAGCAGGAATTTCTCATCTCATGAGTGAGCATGATGTAGATGCTAGTTCTGCATTTTTTTGTTTTGACACAACTTGGACACATCCATCTCAGGTCCAGCCAGTGAGATTCCTGCAGCTTGGGCTTTCCCACACGTGTAGCAGTACAGTCCTGTGGTCATGCTCCACGTCAGCACCCACCAGTGCCAGCCACAGAGGGATGAGGGACCACCCCACTGGGGCAGGGAGAAAACCCCAGTCCACTGCCAGGTCACTCAGTGCAAGCAGCAGCAGTTGGAGAGGCTCTGCCTCTGTGTGTGCACAGGTTTCACCAGGAAACCAGCACGACAAACATCCACATCAGGTGAACAAATTTGTTCAGGTCCCATGGAACTTGGACCAGTGTGAAGGTCATGGGAGGAAATAACTTTTCCCTTTTTTTGCCTTTTACTTAGCAAAAACTGTGGCACATTATGGAGTTTGGAGCTGCAGAGAAGAAGAGGGGAAAGAAAGGTATAACATCTCTCTGTGAACACACTTTTTCTGTCACTCTGACAATCAGTCCTACTCCATGCTGTAGCTCAGAGAGGAGCCAATACCACAAAATCTGTTCTGGGCTCCAGAATAAATACTGTAATTGTCCCCTGCCCTGGTGGTTTCTCACTCCTCATCTCTCTTCCTTATACCTCCCCACTCCCTCTCATCTCCAGTGGCTAAGGTCAGAGATCCTCAGAATGGGACAATGTCTGTCTCATGAGAAAGCCAAAATGATGAAAACAACAAGGTGCTTGGAAGAGGAGGAGACCCACAAGTGACAGGTGTGCCAAACAGCACTCTGGCTGCTCTCCTACCTCCACAACTTCAGGTTAAACTGTTCCACTCCTCTGGACTCCTGCCTGGAGAATAGGAGGCTCAGGGAGACCTTCTCCTTCTCTACAATTGCCTGAAGAGGGGTTGTAGTGAGGAAGGGGGGGGTCGGTCGCTTCTTCCAGGTAACAAGAAAAAGGACGACAGGAAAGGGCCTCAGGTTGGTCTAGGGGAGGTTTAGGTTGGGTACCAGGGAAGATTTCTTCACAGAAAGGTTGCAAATCTTTGGAACAGGCTGCCCAGGGAACTGCTTGAGTCACCATCCCTGGAAAGATTTAAAAGAAATGTAGATGTGCTGCCTAGGGATCTGGTTTGGTGTTGGGTTCATGGTTGAGCTCGAAGACCACAGCGGTCGTTTCCAACCGCAGCAATTCCATGGATTTGGCATCTGACAAACTCTGCCACCTGCCAGTGCCATCCTTCCAGCGCTCGGGCAGGGATCGGGAGGGTGGCAAAAGGCTCGGGCAGCCCTGCCGGGTTTGAGGTGGGTCGGGGTCGGTGTCTCCCCGCAGCCTGTGTACGAGCCCAGGAGCCACACGGTGGCACCACAGACGGCGGCGCGGTGGCCAGGACAGCCCGAGCCGTGCGGGACCGGGACAGCCCGAGCCGTGCAGGACAGGGACAGCCCGAGCCGTGCGGGACAGGGACAGCCCGAGCCGTGCGGATCCAGGACAGCCCGAGCCGTGCGGGTCCAGGACAGCCCGAGCCGTGCGGGTCCAGGACAGCCCGAGCCGTGCCGGACCGGGTCAGCCCGAGCCGTGTGGGACCGGGACAGCCCGAGCCGTGCGGGTCCAGGACAGCCCGAGCCGTGCGGGACCGTGGCGGACCCGGCCCGTCCACTCCCCGGTGAGCCCCGGGGTTCGCAGACCCACCGAACACCGGGGTACCCCTGTCCCGGAATGCCCCGGCAACACGCTCCCTGAATACAAGTGACAGGAAAGGAAAGGATTTATTGCTTTTAGCATCACTATTGATAAAGGTTTTTTTGCCGTTATGCCCCATTCTGGAAGTGTTCAAGGCCAGGCTGGATAGGGGTTGGAGCAGCCTGATCTTGTGGAAGGTGTCCCTGTCCATGGCAGGAGATTGGACCTCTAAGGTCCCATCCAACACAAACCATTCTATGATTCTATTATGCAGCCTTAGCCTGACTCTGGTGACATCAATTTTGGAGTTGTCCCCAGCTGCAAGGAAAGTCACCTATTTGAAGAAATACCACTCTTCAGTCTGCCTCTGTGGGTTTTTAGTTTGCTGTCAATATTTATAAACCACTTTATTTAAATAATTACCACTACACTACATCAGTCAGTAGCAGAGATGCACAACTTGGATAAAGAGGAGCCAGTTTTATTAGCTCCCTCTTAAAAAGTCTGGCCATGTCTCAGAGGAAACATGCTAAACTGTACTCACCCAAACTATAGGCTAAGAGGCCAGTTAAACTCATATGGGCCTGACAATGGGACCTTGTAGCATCTTATCACAGAGAGACAGTAGCTTACTGACTCCCCAGGGATACAGGACACAGCTAGGGAGAAGGGATCTGCCTCTCTCAGTGCCATGGCTCCCAGCTGCTGCCCAAAATTCTCACCACATAGTGTATGATTCCTGTGTCATATTGTGGAGCTGGATGACAGTAATCATTTCCTTATTTTTCTTAACAGAAAAGCACAAAGAATTTTCAAAGGATCTTGGTATTGTAAATCATGTTTCATTTTGGCTTTGTATTAAAAAAAGCAAAATGAGTCACTGCAGAACAAATACCACCAGGAAGCCTGCAGAAAGCAGCTCCAGCCTTGCTGGGAGTCAGACTGGTTCCTGCTGCTCTCTCCTTCAAGAGCAGCTCCAGGCTGGCCTCCTCTTGCAGGGCACTATAGGTCTGACCACTGGGATACAGCAAGACCTACACAAGGGATCCCAAAACAGGAGAGAAAATCTCAGTGCTGCAGCTGAAGGTACAGTCTATGCCCTGAACACTGAGAGGAGACCCCTGCCAGGCCCATTTGTGAACATGTGCATCACTGCAGGCCCCTTTCTTTTCATGTGGCCTGACATGAACTTATCCCCCCTTTAGAAAAGAGAGATCCTTGTGAAGCCTGTCAGGTCTCAGTTTTATTGTCTGATCCAACAGCCCTCCAGTGTGAAGGGTGTTCCCTATGTGGCACACAGCGTGGTGCCATTGACCACTCCCTTTCCCTACCTCTAGCCATTCCTCTAGCACCATATCCAGCTGCCTTCCTGCAAGCCCTGCCCTAAGACACCACAGCTGCCAACACACACAACACACTCTTAGAGTCACCCCTCAATGATCCATACATTTGTGGTTGCTAGGATTAATATCCCATGGCAAGACTGATCAGCTGGAACTGGAGCAGAATCATACCTCACAGGGAAAGGTCATGCTGCAAACCACACAGCCTCTTCCTGTAATTGGCTGAAAATAGTCTACAACTCTTCTCTTTGTGCAGCTTTATCCAAAAATAAAATCCCTTTAGGCTGTGGTAGACCTCACTTTGATGTTCGTGGGAACAGCATTCTCAAATTATATGCAGTACATGGCACATGAACTGCACTGTGTAGCAGTTCAAGGCCAGTGACAGTCTATGGCTTATATTTAAGCACTGAAATATAGTTGAATTTCCTTGGGTAGCATTAAGGTCAGTTGCAGGTTAACTTATCTCTTCCTGTAATCCTATAAAATAAATATTTTTCTGACTCATTTTAAGTTTAAACTCTCTGAAAATAGTTTTCCTGGAATAGACCTTGTCACTACACTGAAATTCATGCCTCTACTCTCCCCACATAATCAAACACACTTGATAAAAAAAATTTTTGAAAGGCACTGTTAATTTATTTTATTAGTCAACTGGTTACTGAATCAAAAATTTCAATTAATTTAGCAGCATGTTCCTATTTAACCTTTATTCTAAAGGGTAAATCTGCTTTTCCAGCCAATCAATTCAAACAAATTCCATATTGCTTATAGCAAGCTAAAACACACCCTACAGCTGTCAGATCCTAATAAATCTCATACTTTGGATTTGAAATAAATGACCTAAAGCTAAATGTAAGGAAAAGCTTTTCTTTTTCTCTTTTTTTTTTTTTTTTTTTTTTCTCTTAAGCAGAAAAGCACAGAGAAGGTCAAAAGTTCACCTTCTTGCAATCTGACTATCACATTCCTAGAAGGCAAGGCCAGGGATGAGGTGAACCTTCTGCATTCCCCATAACAGTAGGGGGGTCCTTCCAGCACGGAACTCAGACTGACAGAAAGACATCTCAGCCACAGCCTTAGAGACAGTGATGAGGTGTCATTATGATCCCTTACATCACAGCCTTGTTTTCCTGCTGCACAGCCACACACCTCCCACCTTCCCATCCGTACTTCCCACGCACAGCCCCAGTGTCACCAGCAGCAGTAGGCAGATTTCCAAAGAGTTGATCCCCCTCATTTCTAGGGGAGAGTGACAGCTCCTGTCTCCCTCTCCTTGAAGGTGGAACTCTTTAGTTATCTCCAGGAGAAGGAAGAAGAGAAGCAGGAGGACTTTTGGGGTGGTTCTCCTTACCTAGGGTCTCCTGGCCGGTGTCGCAGCGGGGTGCTGGCTTGGTGGCCCTGAGCAGCCCGGCGAGGAGCAGCAGGAGCCTCAGGACCATGCTGGAGCCCTGGCCCATGGGCACAGTGATGTGGCGCTCCCTGCCTGCTGCAGGGACTCCTCTGCCGAGCCTCAGCGCTCCCGAGCTGCGGAGGAAAGCGGAGCGCTGCGAGGGCATGCCCACGTCTCACTGTGTGTGCAGCCCAGGCGTCAGATTTCAGCTGCATTTCAGCTTGGAAAGCAAAAGGCTTCGAGACAGAGAGGGAGGAGGAAGGAGCTCCCCCTCCCCTCTGCCTCCGGACCGTCTCCCTCCTGCCGCCCGGTTCACATTTCATAAACAGTGAGAGCAAAGGGGGGTCTCTGCTTGTGCCCTGCCGATCCCTCTGCGGGTCCCTTTGGTCTTCATGCAGCACTTTCCTAAGGGACGAGCGACATTCCTGAAAACGTGTCTCTCTGAAGCCAAGAGACAGAAAAGCAAACAACTGAAAGCAACTTTCCTCTCAAATAGCGGTATTTCATCACATACTTAACTGCAAGTTTAAAACATACCATGGCAGTGAAGGGGTTCTGAGCTGCACCCCCTCCAGCACACAGAGAATGGGAACACACAGAATAGCCACTAGAATCCCCCTCTGCATGCTCCTCCTGGGCATTTCACTTAAGATAAGATCGAGTTATCTGGAGGGATTCCAGTATTTTCTGTCTATTCTTAAAAAATAATAACTTCACAAATGTGTAGATAAGACTCCAGTACAACATTACAAGGTTTAAACTGGATGGTAAATCTATATTAAGTCGATAGTAAATTGACCTTTTAACTTTTTTGTTTAGTTGGTTTTGGTGGGGATTTTTCAGTATATTTTAGAGAAATATATATTGTATGCTTTTATTTCTGTGCAACAGATATGGTGGAGAAGCATACCTTAATTATGATGCAAATTCCTCATTTCTTACCTACACATAAGAAAACATCCCATATCACAGAAGAAAAAGGGAATTTTTCCTCAAAAATCTAGACAAAGATAGACCAAAGCATCCTATCTTTTCAGGCAGCCCATGTTTCTTTGAGAACAGATACCTGCTTACACAGGAGAGCAGAGAATCTGCCCTTGCAGGTGGAGCATGCTGGCTCCTGCTGATCAGTATTGGAGATCAGTAGGGAGTTATGGTGCTGTATGATAATGTAATCAAATGAACCCCCCGTAGGGAAACCACTAAAGAGGCTGACAGGGCAGGAGAAAGCTGCGTGTGTCTCAGAAATTAATTGATGTCTCATCTCATTTGAAAGAGATGCATTGAGAAGCTCAGCAGTCAAGTATGTCCTCTGCTTCCAGGTTCTGCAAGGCAGGTTGGCATTTTGTCTCCAGGATTTCCTTCCAGATCTGGAGACTGCAGATTCTGCCCTGTCTTAATGGACTAAACATTACCAAAGCCTATCAGAGTTCAAAAAACAAACTTCCAAGGACAAGAATACTATTTACTTGCATTGTTTTTCGTCCTAATCACACAGCAGTGTGGCTGGACCCTCAAGGAAAAAAAAAAGTAATAACACAGCTCTGGACGTGTGGCCTCCAAAGGAAGGAACACTTCACTTTCTGCTTAACTCTCCAGCAACTGGCTGCTCTGAATACCAATCTGCCACACTTGTACCTGATGTGCTCATGTACAGCTGAGGGTGTGTCCAAGCCTGAGGCTTGCTGTGTGCCCAGACTATGCATTTTGTATTAAAGGGAGAAACAAAGCTGCTCAGAACTAAAGAAGATGATGTGGCTCAATTTTTTACAACAACAAAAGGCAGCAGAGGTTATACCTGCAAACAGAAGCCAACACTCAGCCGTTGGAAATGCTCTTTACTGCTGTTTTCTGCAGCCCTTGTGAGTGTGGGGGGAGAGTGTTGCATACATCCCAATGATTGTGGTGGTGAACTCTGCTGCAGAACTAATCCTGTACTATCTATTGTCCCGTCAGCTTACCACTTCTTTTTTTTTTTTTTTTCATGTTTTCTGCTTGTATTTTTTTTCTGTTTCCTACCCTCCAGCCTAGCACTTTGTCCTCGTTAGTGCCTTCTCCCCTCCACTGCACTTCAGCCACCCCTGCCACTGTAGATGCCACATACTTTGAGACCCTGTATTTTAAAACACCAGCAAGTGTAAGCCTCCTTTACCAGGATCCCCCAAAACATTTTGCAAACCACTGTCACCTAATTTCATCAGTTCTATTAGCACTGTGATACTCCACATTCATACTGTGCCTCATACTTAATGTCAAATATTAATGAGACAAAGTCCCATCCCACTGGGAATACTGATTTGGTGTCATTTCCATGCATCAACTTCCAAACCCCCCACCACCCTGCCCAGTTCAATCAGCCTTTGGGCCTTTGTATCAACTTCAACAGACTCAAATGGAGGCAGTGTAAGGACTGTACAGAACAACAGAATAAACAAGTGATTAATTAAACCCACAGACCCTCAGGAATTAACAAGTAAGTAATGAAGGAGACATTGACAGCAACTAGAACGTGTTGGTCAGTGCCTGATGGACTGTTAAAGCAACAATTTGGGTACAGCCTTGAGGAGGGTCAGGCTGAACTTTGTCAGTGATTAGAAATATAAAATATGGTTAACGTCATTATTATTGGATATTAAGAGTGAATTCAGATCATGTAAAACTTACCATGGCCTGCTAAGGGGAAGGAGTAAAGGGAAGAACCAGTGTGGATCAGGGAGGCCAAGAGCAGGAAAATCAGAGGAGGAAATTAAAAGGAATGTCTGCAGGCAGGTAGGCTCCCGAGCTGTATACTCACCTCTCTGAATCCTGTGCCTGATCACTGAAGTCTATTTTCGTATCCAATCCTTAACTTTTTTTCTCTTGCTATGCAACCTCTCTCTCTGACCCAGGTGTGCGAGCTGAATGGTCAAAAATGCCAACAACCTGAGAGACAGAGGTGTAAGCTGCAAGGCCTGGGTGTCAGCCTCTGGAGAGACCTGGATATGTTTGCATTTCCCCAGTGAACACAATCCTGTGTCCATACGTGTGCTGGTGTAGTTTGCTAGCAAGCTTCAGTCTGCATTAGCAGGTAAGTAGGTAGTAGGTTAGTAGGTAAGAAGTCAGTAATAGTCTGCAAAGACTCGAGGTGTGGATCAGTGTCTGGGTAAAGGGCCCAGGGTGCAGACATGACCTGAGAGCTTGTGCTGATGTTGGAGGAGTCTGTGAGTGTCAGCATGTGGCCGTATGTTAGGGGATTAACCCTTTGAACGGCGGTAATAAGACACACAGAAACATGGTCTCTCTCAAGACAGGAAAGAGACAATTTATTGTAACACTATACTCCTTAAATACACTTAAATACACTAACTCAAGACAAAGCACTAGCTTATTGGTCCAGAGAAAGTAACACTTCTTTTTCAGGCTTTCTCATGTATCCAGCAGGTGTTTATCTTTGTTTTCAATTCTTCTCTTATGTTTACATTAGAGATAGGCTGTTAGCTTGGGAAAAAAGCCCTAGCTAAACCTGAGAAAGCTGGACAGGAAAAATCCTCACAAGAGGTTTTTCTGGGCCTGACAGCCACATGAGCATGCCTGTGAACCCAGAGTGGGAACATGTGTGCTTCACCAGTGAGCCTCCAACCTGAGCAGCCATAGCTGGACAGCAGGACTGGGCTCTGTGCACTTATTTGAGTGCTGGTGGCAAACCAGCTTGTCTGGAACCATGTATGTGTGCTTGCCACTGTGGGACTCACTCTCATTTCTGTCTGAACTTGCACACGTCCTCATTGCCTGGATGACACCACAAGCATCACATCCTTCACAAGCTCCACTGCATCACCTAAATAAAGCTGTCAGTAGCTGGCAAGCTCCAAGCTTCTTTGCTCCTCAGCTTTCACAGACTTTTTACAGTCAATCAGGATGTCTATTTAATACCAGGATAAAAAATGTAGAGCATAAGTAGGATAGATGGAGTCCTAAGAATGACATTGAGGTAATTAAAAACAAAGGTAAATTTATCAGTTTGTCACTACCATCTATAAATATTTCCATGCTTGCATGCCCTAAGGTATGGAAAGCAGGTGGTCTGGAAGGGTTATTTCACTTTTAGCTTAGATTGCTTGTTCCTTTCCAAGAGATTTAATCCCAGGTTTACAGTGTGTTTTTCTGTGAAGGTTTGACATGTTTGTCACTTCTGTAGATCTGCATCTTTCTGAGGGTAGCAGTAGTTCAGATACTGCTCTTAGCACTTATACAATATTTCCATCCAACCAGCATTTCTAACTTGTCTGGTTTTTTTCAGCCCATTATAAGCAGTTTGTGTATATCACTTGCCCTTCTCATATTTTTGTTGTGTGTTAACACTAACTATATCAAATGGGACTAGCAGGAATTGCACAGCTGCATGACCAAACCTAAAACCATTAAAAGCAGCTAGTGAAGGGATGGTTGGGAATAGAGGCATTTCTCAACCTCTCTGTTTTCATTTCTGTGTTTTAGTAAATCTTCCAATCTTCTCAGAAGGTTGACAACAAATTCCGGCTTATAGTTAAATATGATATTTTCATCCCAATTCTAAAAGAATCTTAAAAATGAACCAGTGAATCCCAGATTTAAGCAGATGTAACAACATCACCTGGGTTCCACCATTTGCATTTGAATCTGCAATAAAGGTAGATAATTTCACTAGCTGCTGTTGCTGACTGTGTTTTTCCTGATCTGACCTTTCTGTTAGCCTCCAGTCCACAGTACAGCAGCAATCCAGAAATGCTCAGACTGGACTAAATACCAAAAATGGTTTATGTCCTTGGCAAGTACTCAAAGTGAGATTAAATACAGCACATTTAACTTGCTTACATTCTCATGATTCTTACTATCCTAAGAGAAATTTAGCAGAGGAATATCTTAGATTTAGACAGGGTTTAACTTTTTATTTTTCATTACCTTAGAGGTTCTTTTTTATTTGAACTCTGCTGAGAGGAGGTTGAACATTAAACAGAAGCAGTGCTGTCTAGATAACTTTTCTGAAGGACAAACAGACACAGACCAGATGAAAATGCTACTTCATGGCTTGTTATTCTCTCCCCTACTAGGTGCTAGCAAAGCTGGCACAAAGTGTTTGGCAGCACATCACATCTGCTCCAGCACAAAGTCAGCAGCTGTGGTTTTAGGACTTTAGAGTAGTTTAAATTAATCCAGGAGATATTTTCATTTGCACAGAAGCAACCAACTGCATTCTGTGGGTTTTGTTTATTATTTTTCCCCTCCCTTTTTCAGTTTCTGCAAAACAGGGCAGAGAAGAGGAACTGCTCTCAGGACAGATGGAGTAAATCAGCAACTTTCTATGAAGCCATAGCAATATTTTAAAAAATCCAACCCTATTCTACCTGTCTTTGCAAGACCTTATCTCCCTATGAATGGATTGAGTTTCATGTGGCAGCAGAAAACTGAAAAAGGCCCACAAGGGCTTCTCTTTCAGCTTCTGGCTGCCAAGTTAAAAAAGGAAAGCAGATTTGTTCTACAAAAAAAAATTCTAATTCAGATTAACATGCATGTGGATAAGAGAGATGGCTAATTTCCTCTAAAGATCCACTGGCTATTCTGAGCTCTGCACTTAAGCAGATATTTTGGGATGTTTCTCTGTGCCTTCTGGGACCATCTACATTACACTTGGGGAGCTTTGAACTTTCTCACTGAGAGTTTTTTCAGTGGAACCTTTTATCTCAACTTTCAATTTGTTCCCCTTATGACCCACAGGATTAAAAACTTCACCTTAGAAACTGCCACACATAAATACTGAGTGCTGGAAATTTGATTGAGAAACTGTAAAGAAAAAGAACACAAGAACAAGTTTTCCTGTTTTCCTACACACTATACCCTAAAATTTTAACCTAGAATGGATCATGGACTGCAACTGCCTACATGTCTCAAATACCTCAAAATTCCCTGTAGCCTCTACCAGTTATTTTTCATCATTATTGATCAAGTACATATTTGTCCCAATTCACTAAGGGAGAAAGAATAATTCCCTGGTAAACCTTTGCAGTGTGAACCAGTTTCACTGTATTAAAAAAATTAAATTTCCTGCAATGGATTCAAAGTTGGTCTTGGTTTTATTTTTATTTTCTTCATTTTGACATGTTTTACCATTTTTTCCCGCCCAGTTTTTCCTCATAAGCTGGAAACAAAAGCAAGCAATGAGTGGGTGAGTTTACTTCCCTCACTTAATATTATAGTCACAGATACATCTTTCCTTCCTGATTAAATATAATACATGTTAAAAAATGCAGCTCTTGAAAAATATTTAAATTATTTAAATTCAATACAAGTACTGTCAGTGATAATTAAATTCTCTTTTAATCTTCTGACTTGTCACAGATTAACTAAATCACTGACCCACAAAATTAGTTGCTTATACCATTTCCAGGTGATTCACTGAACTGTTCCTATGGTAAGGCAGAAGAAGGCAATTAAAACAGGAGCAGGCCCTACCATCCCCAAAAGATTCAACTGGATACATGCCTTTGTTTTAGCCTACCCTTCATGTGGTCTCTGTGCTTGTTTGAGTTAATCAGTGAGAAATGAAGCCACTCAGAAAGTTTCTTTTGATGACAGGAGAAAATGATATCTAGTTAAAATTCAGCCATGATCAAAGGCAGAAATGATACAAAAGACTGGAAGGGAACCTGGCACCAGATGGTAGAATGAGACCACAAAGGGACAACAGTAATAAATATGATTCTATATCCAGGAGAACATGTGCAAAATAGCATGCACTGATCACCAGATCCTGCTATAAGCACACAATATTATTTAAATTCAATCATTAAAAAGATAGAGCTGACATAAGGACCTTGTTATCCTCTCAAAGGCTGCCTCTTATTACTCCCACATGTAAAGTAGCAAAGCAGGATTACTGCTGAGGGGTTACTGGTGATGCATTTTGCTGGTTTTGTTCAAGATGAGGCCCAAAGGTGACTCTGCCTGACTCCCATAAAGCAAGAAAAAGAATACAAATATGTTAGTGAATCATAGAACCGAATATATAACAGCTACAAGGAAAAATGTGTGCTCAAAAAAGATCTGTGCTGAGAACTAAAGATCTTTCTTTTCTTCTGATCACAGATGGAGTATTAAAAATTAATGTAAGTTCTACCAGAAAAGAACTTGACAGTCCTATTTTGAGACTCATTTCACTTCATCTCTTCTCCCTGTCTCACAGAACATTAATGCCAAAACATTCAAAAGAAGTTCTCCGGGGCTTGCTTTTCACATTCACAGAGGTGCTGGGAAGCATTTTGAAAAAGTGATTTCGAGTGCTGTAGTTTGTAGATACCTGATGGGGGAAATACTTAAGAGACCCTGATGCCTTTAAAGCAGATCCTTGGCACTTTCCAAAGAAAAATAAGGCCCTCCAAGGTTGGCACTCCCCAGAAAACTGGGAATTCACCTCAGATAGCAAGAACCAATGCCATTTCAGATGATACTAGCATCACAGTTCTGAGGATTTTAACTTCACTTTCAGAAATACACTTCTGAGACACAAGTCTGACTTTACACCAGGAGAAAAATGGTGTTAAATCAAAAATAAAATGTTTAAAAATATATTTAAGCACTTTAAAATTACATAGCAGTATACTTGGAATCTATACCACATTCAATATCTGTGCCATGATAGTATGTCTTAATATTTGTTTTTTATATCAAGGCTCCAAGTCTAAAGAGTGGCACAACCTAAAAATAATAAACAGAGACTCTTTTAAAAGATGAGGTGTTTTAGTTCAAGTTTTATTTTCTGCATTTATTCATAGAATTTACAAAACCTCTATCAGCATATCAAAACATCTACCAGTGGAAACTTTAAACCAAATATAAAACCATCTTTTTTTTTTTTTCCCAGACACCTTGGAACAGTATCTCAAGTCAGTGGTATTCAGGCATGCTCCACTCATCATGTTCAGATTAAAGATGTGCTGAATTGCCCACAGGCACTGGATAGAGAAGCAAAGGGGCAGAGACTGGGTTGGAGGCTGTCCTTGAGGTCATGCAGGATCCCATCCTGCTTGGATTTCCAGCAGCACGAAACCCAGCCCCACAGAGCCAGCACAAACAGCCTGCTGACCCCAGTGCTGTCCTCCCAGCTTCATCAATGCCTACATGGGCATAACCCATGCCAGACCCACATGCAGCATCCTGGCCCCTCAAGTTATTTGTGAGAAACTCATTAGTTTCTAGATTTCAATTTCAAATGTAGTTTGCACGAGGTCCTGTGTGAGAAGGGCAAGGTGGTGCTGTGTCACTTCCAGGGCT